AGGAAACCAAGGGGGCAGCAGCTAGCTGACTTCATGGAGAAAGAGGGACTCTTTATAATGAACTCTTTCTTCCAGAAGCGGCCCCACAGGAAGTGGATTTGGTCGAGCCCTGACTGCTCGACAAAAAATGAGATTGACTTCATTATGACGCCCAGACGTCAACTCTTCAGTGATGTGTCAGTGACCGCGTGGGTGAAAACTGGTAGCGATCACCGAATGGTTAGAGGTTCACTGAACCTAAAAGTTAAGTTGGAGAAGTCTTGTCTAACGAAATCAACGCTTCGTCTCCCTAGTGTTCTAATCCAAAGCCCCGAAACCTTTCAGCTCGAGCTACAAACCGTTTTCAGTGCTTGCCTAGAAGATTGCAATGCAGTAGACGATATGAATGACAAGCTCGTGGAAACTGTTTAAGCGGTAGGAGCTAAGTTCTGCAGGACCGCCGTAGAAGAACATAAAAACTCTCTGATCACACCCTTAATCTCATGGCTGTTAGACGGAAAATGAAGCTGTAGTATTCAGCAGATTTGACAGCCTACAGGCCACTTAACAGACAAATCTTCAAATGCATGCGGCAGGACTTACGCAACTTCAGTACATCTCGTATTGAAGAAGCAATCGAGTGGCACCAGGGCTCCAAAGTCTTTGCTAGAGATCTGTTTGCCAGAAAAAGCCAACTGTCGAAGCTGAAGACTGAGTGTGGCAGAGTCGTTTCCGGAACACCTGAGATTTTGAGTGAGATTGAGAGGTTCTATGGGCAGCTGTATACATCGTTGGAGCCACACGCAAGTGTGAGTAACGATTCAAGAGCAAGTCTTATCCGACGCTATTCCGATGATGTTCCGGATGCCAGTCTGAGCGATATTAGAATGGCACTCCAGCACCTTAAAAACGGCAAAGCCCCAGGTGAGGATGTTATTACAGCGGAGCTTCTGAAAGTGGGTGGAAAACCGGTACTAGAAGTCCTTAAGAAGCTCTTTAATTCCGTCCTCAGTGGTGAGACTACTCTGGAGGCGTGGAGCAGAAGTGCGGTGATCTTGTTCTTCAAGAAAGGCGACAACGCTCTCTTGAAGAACTACAAACCGATTTCACTTCTGAGCCGCATTTACGTGCTGTTTTCGAGAGTCATTACGAATCGTCTCGCAAGCGGACTCGTCGAGTTCCAGCCTCCCGAACAAGCCGGTTTCCGAAAAGGCTTTAGTCCCATAGATCACATACATACAATTCGGCAAATTGTACAGAAGTCCGAGTTTGCCACTATGTCTGGCGTATGTGGACTATGAGAAAGCCTTTGATTCTGTCGAACTTTGGGCGGTGCTGTAGTCCCTTCAGCGATGCAAAGTTGACTGTCGGTATATCGAAGTGCTAAAGTGCTCGTACAGTAGAGTTACGATGGCTATTCGAGTACAGAACCAGAGTACGAAACCTATCCAATTGCAGAGAGGTGTAAGACAGGATGACATTATATCCCCGAAACTCTTCACCGCTGCATCGGAAGACGTTTCCAAGCTACTGGACTGGAAAGGATACGGTATTAACATTAAAGGCGTGTACATCACTCACCTTCGATTTGGCGATGATATAGTTCTTATGGCAGAATCGTTGGAGGACCTAAGCATTATGCTCAATGACCTCAATAGTGCCTCCCAACGGATAGGTCTTAAGATAATTATGGACAAAACGAAGATCATGTTTAATTTCGACGTCACACCTATGCCGGTAGTTGTTGGGAGCACTAAGCTCGAAGTTGTTGACGAGTATGTTTGCAAGGGACAAATAGTCCGACTAGGTAAGTCCGACTTCGACCGGGAGGTCAATAGACGGATTCAACTCGGCTTGGCAGCGTTCGGGTAGTTACGGCACATCTTTTTTAACTTTTTTATCTTCTTAAAACTTGAAAACGAGACTGTACAACCAATGCGTGTTGCCAGTGATGACCTATGGAACTGAGACGTGGTCTTTTACTGCTGACCTTATTAGGAAGCTTAAGGTCGCTCAGCGAGCTATGGAGAGGACCATGCTCGGGGTTTCTCTGCGTGATAATTTAGAAATGAGGATGATCGCAGTAGAACCAGAGTGACCGACATAGCCCAACGGATTAATAAGCTTAAGTGGCAATGGGCCGGCCATTTAGCTTGAAAAACCTACAACCGACTGGGAAAAAGGTTCTCGAGTGGCAGTCTCGTACCGGCGGACGATGTATAGGGCGTTCCCCCACTAGATGGAGTGACAACCTGGTAAGACATGCAGGAAGTCGATGGATGCAGGTGGCTCAGGGTTATGCTTCTTGGCATTTTTTGGGGGATGCCTATTCATCAGTGGACTTGTGATGTGCTGTAATGATGATAATGATAATTCAGTTTCGTGCACTAAACTACTTTCTTTAATATTTTTATTTTTTATCGCTTTCTTAATAATCATTTTTCGATAGTTCTTGCAAGTAAAATGTACATCTCTAGCTAACGCACACAATGACAAATCAAAATTTGTCACGCGTTTTCGAACTGTGAGGTCGTCTTTACGCCAGTATACTCTAAAGCTCGCTTTTCACTATGGGATATTATATAATATTTTATCCCGAAAATTTCGAGATATAATATTATATAATATCCCATAGTGAAAAGCGGTGTGAAAGCCAATCGCGGGATATAATTTATATTTAATATAAATTTTATCCCGCGATAGATATATCTTAAATATATCTTTTAACCAGTGTGCGGTCGTCATTGGATTACCCCTGTACTCCGCACACCGTTTTTTGGCGGTGCGGGAACGGTGTGCGGGGTAAAGGGGGCGAAATATAATATGAAAATATCGCTCGGTCGTTCGAAAAAATATTTATAGTTTGAGATGTAATATATAATATAGCTCAGTGTAAACGGTTCCATATGAAATGTATGGTGAGCGATATTAATTTATATCTCGAGATGTAATATATATTAAATTATATCCCATAGTGAAAAGCGGGCTGTAGTATATAGACCACATACATTCAACTTTTCTCGCGGACTGCTCTAAATTAATTTTTTCTCCTATAGTATTTGCATACACTCTTTCTCTTTCGTGGACTCACCTTTTTGACTTGATTATCTCTGACGATGGACAGAATCTATTAGTCATTTAATCAATGATTTTATCATAATAATTTAACTGTGTGTAAGGTTACACTCTTAGCCAAGCTTTTAGCGCACTTTTAAATAGCACACGCCATACAATGTTGTTTTTCTCTCGTACTTTTCTCTTAATAATTTATATGGATAATAGTTTAATTTATGTCGTTCAACTGTCATTGTAACTCTCACGTTTGAAATATTGCGTGCGGTCACCGATCACTCTATGCTGCTTACGATTTGAAACTATACCACAGACTAACTAGTAGATTCTAACCGAATTAATTAATTAATTAATTTTGAACTATACTGAATTATTAAACTAGTGTCCTGAACTCTTTATATGGTATCAGTGGTACAGTGGCGTAGCGTGCTTTAGATGGGCCCTGTATTAAAATTTGTTTTGGGGCCCCAATGAAGAGCAAAGATTTCATAACATGAGCAAAGACGCTTGCATTGAATTAAAATTATTATACAATATGTAACAAAAATCAAAAACCCTGTGGTTCCCGCTAAGTATATTAATATAAGTCCCGTTATCAAGATCAGTTTTCAAACCTATATAAATAACTTTTTTTTTTCTCTCGAACTCGACCAATAATTTTTTAAATTTGATTTTACAATTAAAAATATTTTATTTTACGTGGTAGAGCCATTCTGCAGCTATATTACTGGTATAGTTGTAACACGAATGGGTCGGCTCGACCAGGGAAGGACCACGCTCTCACAGAATACCAGCGTAAAATAGCAGCTTAATGCTGCTGTGTTTCGTATGGTGAGTGTAGAGAACCGGAGACCCTTTTTACTGGAAAAGAGGCATTCCATCTTAGTCCTCACGGGTGACAACGCATCTGCATTTTGATTCGTAATCGAGTATAGATGCAGATGTCTATGGGCCACAGCAACTACTTACCATCAGGTGGACTGTGTGCTCGTTTGTCACCCTTATCCTATAAAAAAATAGTTGTATGCAAATTGTTTGCGGTTTTATTACTTCTGCTTTGTCCGGGGAGTAAGAGGATTGTCAAACAACCCGCTTTACTTTGCTTTAGCATCGGCTAGTGTCAGTAAGAGGTAATAAAATCACGTAAAATTAAAAAAAAAGTTATAAAAAAAAAAATTGGTTGAGTTTTAAAAAAAATATATTTCTATAGGTTTGAATACTGATCCTGATAACGCACTTAACGGAAACCACAGGGTTTTTGTTACATATTGTATATTGATTTTAAGTTATTACTTACAATTAATACTCCTAGGAACTAAGCTAGCCAAACAATTCCATACACTTTTCTTGCCTTTTGTTCGGCGAACATAGCTGAAGACGATTCGGCGGCATTCATAGCTGAAGACGATTTCAGCTTTACTAAATTCTTTGCTTCTATAGACAATAGTGATAGCCTTTCATGTCCCATAGAAGTCCTTGGAGTTTTTACTTACAAACGTTCGGGGCCCCTGTAGCCCGGGGGCCCCGTATCATTGATACGGCGGATACGGCGGTAGCTACGCCCCTGCAGTGGTATCAGTCCATGTTGTTCGTTCTGGCGATAGAAGCCTCGAGCTTAGTGCAGAAATCGCTGTATTGCATATTAATGTAACTAATGTATATTTTTATTTCTATTTTCGATTTTTTTTTATTAATTATGGATGATTTATAAATAGAGAAAGTTTGATTAAAATTTAATTATATGGCAATATTTCGCCACGCCAACATCACTGGTCACGTGACGTGACGTTGTGGACGTGTCATTTGTGGACGGTTCGCTGGCGGTGTTGCGCAGGTTCATATTAGTAAAAGTTGAGTTGGAGTCTTATTATTGAACAAAAGTTGAATGGTTTCATTGGAATTGATCAGTTAATATTTTAGTTAGGATAGTTAAAACACAGTAAAACAAAATGGGAAGTGAGTATTAATGTTACTTCTTATTATAAATAGTGATTTCTCTAACGACACGTATTGCTTCTTTTTGTGTGGTTGTATGTTTAAATTGTATTAAATGTGTGAAGAAGTGTAAAATAATCTTGGGTTTTCCGTCTTTGCAGTCAAATTCCTTGAAGTCATAAAGCCGTTTTGCAGTATATTACCAGAAATAGCAAAACCTGAGAGAAAGGTAAGAAATACATTTGTATCATTCTCATAGTAATTGCAGCCTAATGTTATTATCTTGATTGTGAATTGTTTAAAATAATAAAAACCAATTACAAATCCTAAATATAACAATTACCTATGTTCACTAGTAAGTGAAAGTGTTTTAGGTTATACCCCAAAATTAGGATATCTAACTGTAACTGATTTCCCTGATGACTTTTAAACAATGTTTTTTAACTAAACTTGTGTTTTCAGATCCAATTCCGAGAAAAAGTTTTATGGACTGCAATAACTCTATTTATTTTCTTAGTATGCTGCCAGGTAAGATTTAATATTACATCCTACATTATAATGCACTGTATTGCACCCATACCATTCTATTCACCTATACATTATGCTCCAAATATTCATGATTTACTTAGTTAACTATTTTTCAATCACTAATTTCTAAGTTATTTTTATAAAATGGTACATTAAATAGTCCTTGATTTCCTAGGAACTTAGAAAAAATGCAAGCAGTTGTTTTTTTGTAAAATATTATACCCAAAAAGACTATTATAATATCTCCAAAATCTGTAAATGGTAAAATATAATTTGGAAAAATAAATTTACTTATTAATTTTATTTATAATTATTAATCCCATAAATAAATCTTTAATTAAAATATTATATATTTGAATTTAGAATTTATGTAATTCTAGTTAAAAAATAATGTGATAAAGCAAATAAATTGCTCCGTTTTCCTTCATTCATCCAACTTTACTTTCAATAAAAATTATTTGTAACTTTCGCTTTGCATCATCAGTGTAACAATATAATTACAATATTTTTGTTTTTGAAATCACACATTTTATGTAATATTATTTTTCAGATTCCATTATTTGGTATAATGTCTTCAGACAGCGCAGATCCCTTTTACTGGATCCGTGTGATCCTAGCTTCAAACAGAGGAACACTCATGGAACTCGGTATTTCACCAATTGTAACATCAGGCCTGATTATGCAACTGTTAGCTGGTGCAAAGATTATTGAAGTTGGTGACACTCCAAAAGATAGAGCACTGTTTAATGGTGCACAAAAATGTAAGAAATTTTTACAATATTACAATAAACAAATCATCTTCCCAGTATGACACTGCTTCCAGCAGCAAGAAGTGTATATCTGCTGAAGCAATCTTGGAAAATCCATGTTTAGCATTGGAAAAAGTAAAAGTTACTTAGATCACATATTTTAAATATTATCATTATCCCAAAATTAATACATTATTTTCAAGTTAGGAGAATTGCTTTAATGTCTAGTTAGTGCTTAGTCATTATTAGACTTGTACATTGTAGAGCCAAACTGCAGCTATATTTATAGTATAGTTGTAGCACAAATGGGTCGGCTCGACCAGGGAAGGACCACACTCTCACAGAATGCCAGCGTAAAATAGCAGCTTAGTGCTGCTGTGTTTCGTATGGTGAGTGTAGAGAACCGGAGACCCCGTTTACTGGTAAAGAGGCATTCCATCTTAGTCCTCAAGGCTCACAACGCATCCACATTTTGATTCGCAAACGAGGATTCACTTACCATCAGTAGGACTGTGTGCTTGTTTGTCATCCTATTTCTATAAAAAAAAAGACTGTATAGATAGCGGGGTGAGTCGTGAGCACCAAGTCAGCCAATAATAATGTCCTCTAGACTGAATTTCAGTAACGGCGGCCAATCCCAATGGAGACTTGCTATCTGCAAAAGACAGAATGAAAGTGCCCATGTTTATGCATTAGCACAGGTGCAAGTTTCACAATTTTCACTGTATCCACCCTGCACCACCACCCAAAAAACCTATAAATTGATTATTGCACATGTCAAGGCGGTGCTTACGACTTGTGCCACTATTAATAATGGCCTTCCCAATACAGTTGTTATATAATATTCATTAGATAATTTTGTGTGTGGCTTATGTCAATTATTTAATAATAAAAACAACAGGGAAACTGCACCTATACATTCATTCATTTATTCATTTATCAAGGTCCACTACTGAAAATAGGTCTTCCCGAGAGATTACCTCATGGGGTATATTTGACGAATTGCCACATTGGAAGATACTGCTGCCCATTGACTTCACTTTCCCTCTGTCACTTCTTACGACACCCAAGGGATGATATGGGGTAGTGGATTCAGTTTCAAATATAAGTTTAGTTTAATAAATTGTGTTTTCATAGAGAGGGATGTTAGTTGGTTTGTTGTTTTTGCAGTGTTTGGTATGGTAATTACCGTTGGTCAAGCAATTGTGTATGTAATGACTGGCATGTACGGAGAGCCAAGCGAGATTGGCGCTGGAGTCTGTTTGCTCATCATCATACAGTTGTTTGTAGCGGGCCTGATTGTTTTATTGCTGGATGAACTTTTACAGAAAGGTTTGTACACTAATCACATTTTCTATATAACCAACTTTTAATCAAATCTAAAAAAGGAGAGTAGAGCCAACCTAGATTTTTAGCAAAAAATTAAAATATGATCAATAACAAAAATCAGTAACACATTTGTTAAAAAATTATTAAAATTCACTAAACTGAAATTGTTATTTTCGTGGTACATATGGGTTAAATGTCATACTATCATAGCGGGGTTTTAAAAATAATTTTTGGCTGTTAAAGGAAAATGGCATATATTTCCTGCAGGGCAAGGTGTTCAGCCCAACAGTGAGCACTCTGCTTGTTCTATATATGCTTGTTGTTCAGAAACTTAGCATAACTTCAGTTTTGATTTTTGTTCAGTCCATTTATGCTATTAGTTTGCAGTAACAACGACATTGGCTCTCAACAATGTGTCATCTGTTTCTTATGCACTTTCCAAGTCTGTTTGGAATGCTCTATATGAGTTGGGTCACATTTTGGTCAACAAAAACACTAAAGTGAATTTTGGGTTGTATGGACTGACAAGTTTTAACAGGCATTAGAAAAATAAGTTCAGTCATACTCCCTGTTAAAAAAGCACACATAATGGTAGAAGACGAAGCTTGATGATTTTTTTCCTTATAAGCCAGTGCTTGACCACAATCCCACCTGGTGGTAAGTGGTGATTACACTTGATTATATTATTTAAGAATACCTTCTTCAGTTTTCCCCATTAAGCTGATTCCACTCCATTTTTTTCTACGGTCTATTCCATATTATAGTTACGTGGAAGCTGCAAATGGCATTGTATGATGCATCCTTATCAATTACAGTTGAATGGCACTGTTTTTGATCAGTTTGTGATCTTCATGGATGCTATTTTGCATGGTTTGGTTACTTACTGTTGTGTAAGTAGCTTTATTTTAGACGTTTTAATACCATTCACTCAGTTATAGTGTGCTTGCTGCATGCAATAAATCGAATGTAGAGTACTACAAAGTAACTATCATTGTGTTGTCAATGAAGTTATTGGATAGACCTGCCAGTGCTAAATAAGCACAATAATCACATTCAGTTTTTGATATTTTACCAGGGCAAGTTGAACTTTTTGCCTTTTAAAGAGGCACTGCCACTGGTTGTGGCTGAGACACCAAAAAAGCTACCAATCTCCTTTCTCTTGAATCAAAACAATCATTCTTCTAGTGTTGTTTGTGTCTATATGACATAGAAATGAAATGAAGTTTGTTTATTTGCATAAATACCAGTTTAAATAGTAATCGTACATAACTTAAACTTAAGTTAAACGAACATGAAAATAATATTCTATTGGAATTTTTGAAATAATTGGTGGACCCTATTTATTTCTGAAAGATGTTACAAAGGGTTTACTAATTGATATAACAGATTACTTCTCATCAAGAGTTTATGCTTTCTTAGAGTTAATTATTTTGAAATTTCAGACATCTCATGAAGTGGTTTTATTTTTTTAATATTTTATTTACCAGTTAGTCAATTGATGAGCCACTTTGATAAACTGTTGGCCAAAATTCTGTTTTGCAATGTCTTTTCCTTCCAATATACAATAGGAAAGCTACCTTATACTTCTTTCTGGGCTATGCCAAATTTGTAATGTATTAAGGTCTAAATACCATAATTTATTCAGATCCCTCTCTCTCCTATTACTTTTTACATAATATTAATATTAATAACTATATACGTGAATGTTTTGTTTATCTCATTAATTTCTTTTCAGGATATGGTCTTGGATCTGGTATATCTCTGTTCATTGCCACAAACATCTGTGAAACTATTGTCTGGAAGGCTTTCTCACCTGCTACCGTAAACACTGGTATGTATTCAGTAATAGATACATTTTGTACATTTTTCACTTATAATTTCTCATTATTTTACTAGCTACATGTTCTAAATTTTTAAATTTATAACATTATTTTATAGTTTATTATAAAATTATACCAATTTTATATTTTTTTGTTCTAACTTACCTATCAAAGATTTTAATATTTTTGAAGTTTTAGCAGATGGGATGGGATTTTGTATAAAATTGTATAGTGCATAAGCAACCCAACTGGTCTCAGTTTTTTGTAGCATATGTGTGAGAAAAATGCACAAAATACACCCGATCTCACAAAGACAGCTACATCTATCCTCTGTTAAGAAATAAAATGTAGATGTGATGTCACCTTTGAGGACTAAGATGGAATGCCTTATTTCCAGTAAAAGTGTCTCTGGTTCTTTGCACTCACCAAACTGAACATAGCAGCATTAAACTACTATTTTACCCTGGTTTTCTTAGAGAATATGGTCAAGTCGATCCATTCAACTACATACAAAATGCTGCAGCATGACTCTATCACATATGAAAAATTTAGAGTACTTATTCACGTTTTTTGTGTAAAGAAAATTATAATGTGGTAGCTTAAATATATTCATCATTCTCAGAGTAAAATAGATTAATAGTCCTAAGAAAACTATATTTATTAGTACATTAGTTAACAATAATAGATAAAGTATTCCTGATTTATCAAGAAGAAAAATGGTTGACTTTGTAAAATGATAAAAATGCCTTAATACTACTCTGTAGAAACTATTTGCAATTTTGTACAAATGTTTCAGTGAATTATTAGTTTTTTGGTTCAGTTGTGTTGTAATTGTTTTCATGTTTCTTGACACTATGTCGTAACTAACCTTTGATTTTATTGCATAAGCACTCTATTGGGTATAGGTAGTTTAGAATGAGTAAATATCTATGTGTTAGAGCACACAATATGGCATTGAAATATTTCTTGTGCATTTTACAAGACGAAAGTTTCCCTAGTCATCGTAATGTCTATGTTTACTAAAACAGACTTTAATTTTTTTCTTAACAGGCCGAGGTACAGAATTCGAAGGTGCTGTGATAGCCCTATTCCACCTGTTGGCAACTCGTCCCGACAAAGTTCGAGCTCTGCGCGAAGCCTTCTACCGTCAGAACCTGCCCAACCTCATGAACCTACTGGCTACTGTCCTTGTATTTGCTATTGTCATATACTTCCAGGTGAGATATTTAGCAGAATTTTTGGTTTATTATTTTTTAAATTGAAACAGTATAAGGCACATAAATACGAAATAAAAGCAGATAAATATAAATATAATAAATGTTTTAAAAATATGGGGCTACATGTTATTGAAAAGAAATAGTTTCCATATAAATAGAAATAGTTCTGTATTTTCTTAGATTGCTGGACTATTGCATTTTAAAATTGTGTAGCGCCCGAGTATTTGGCCATATTAAATATATTTGTATTTTTTTAAATACTAGAAATGTAATTAACAAAAACTGGAAAACAGACAAAGTTTAATATAAAAGTTTTAAATATTATTTGTAAATAACAATGTTTGTAGCTAATAAAAATATTTTTAAGTAACTGAATCAAACATCACCAATAAATGTATTGTGCATTATTTCAGGGCTTCAGAGTGGACCTGCCAATTAAGTCGGCGCGCTACCGAGGCCAGTACTCATCGTACCCTATCAAGCTGTTCTACACTTCCAACATACCTATCATCCTGCAGTCTGCACTGGTTTCCAATCTCTATGTTATTTCACAGGTAAAAAATATTTTTTTATTCACATTATTTTGCAGCATATTATGTATGGTTATACATATCACAATTATAATGCAACCATAAACATAAAATATAAATGGTCACCTGGCCGAGTAAAACCCCAGTACAACTTCCTACTATTATTTTAGTTTTTCCATTGCATACTCATTTATAATCTTATCCTAATTATCTACAGCAGCCCATAAAACTCTGCCATCAACTTCATGTTGTACCAACAAGTGCATTGTACATTGTCAGTCAAGTTATTTTTATTCAAAATATTCTTTTACAAAGCTGTTTTAGAAATTAAAAATCCACACCATAGCTTCAACAAGTCCCTACTGCGGGAGACCTTTTCCCTTCTCCTTTTTTACACATTATGATTAATTTGACGGCTCCCTGGCACAGTGGTTTAGCAATGAGTTGCTACGCTGGGGGCCGCGGGTTCGAATGCCGCACGTAACAAGTATTTGTATGGCCTATAAATAATTATACCGGGACTGCATGTTTGTCCATGTGCAATTGGTATTTGTAAACTGCTTCCACAATACAGGAGAAAATCCTAGTGTGGGGGTAACAAAGAAAATTGATAATATAGGACAGGACTGACATGTTACTACTATCATTATAACTGTTGACAGTTAATCATTGTTGTGACCTATCACTGCACGACAAGTTAACTTACATTGACGCTTTTGATGATGACCTTACCTAGGGTTTAATTGAATTTATAATACTTTAAACCTCACCATGACACATCAGTCCTTTTTTATTTTTGAGACAATTATGTATGTATGGAAAAAATATGAATTTATTTAGTAAGAAACAGAATGTCTCTTGTAAAACAGTTTGAGGTGAATTTTCATTAGCTAAAACTGGAAAGTCTTTTCTAAGTAAATATGTAAAAAATTATATTAGTCTCTAAAAATATAGTGCAAACAATCAGAAATAAAATTTAAGTGCAGGTTTTTCTCTGAGGTTTTATTTTTGTGCTTACTATCTCAGCTTTAAAAAAGCAAAAATTGATAAAATGTTCTGATATAAATTTCTTCTGTAGCGTGACGGCTTATAGGAATATAAGCAATTTCTTCTTTAAGGTGGTGGCGCTTAACATACATAAATTACACAATGGACAACTACACCCGGAATTATTACTTGTAGGCCACAACAAACACTTGTTCTGTGCTGGATTCGAAGCCACGACCCTACAGTACCGCAATTAAACTTTTAGCCCCTGTGCTACCGAGCCATCAGCTGAGTTGCATGCATTTAATTGGAAACCATACAATACAAATAGAGGCTAGCTAGTAAATAATCTAAAATGTTGTTTTAACACATCATATATTCTAATTACTATCATTAGTTTTCTATTGCTGAAAAAAGGCATCTCCTAAATATGAAGAAATGGAAAAATTATTAAAATTCTATTTTATGCACATCATACTTCCTATTAATTCCTTGTGGTTATTTGCAGATGTTGGCTGTTAAGTTCAGTGGTAACTTCTTAGTAAATCTTCTCGGAGTATGGGCTGATGTTGGAGGCGGTGGCCCTGCCAGAGCGTACCCAGTCGGTGGACTCTGCTACTACTTCAGTCCTCCAGAATCCTTGGCGCACATTGCTCAAGATCCACTTCATGCTGTTTTATACATAATCTTTATGCTAGGATCCTGTGCCTTCTTCTCAAAGACATGGATTGATGTTTCTGGCTCATCTGCTAAGGATGTGAGTAATAGATATTTTATTTATTATAAGTAGATATAAATTGTCTCTAAATATTGTTATTTAAAACTATTTATGAAAATAGTTGATTTTAGTCCTTACAATACGAGTTAAAACCACCAGAAAGTTTAATAATAACCTATATTTAGAAAATTGTGCACCATATTAATAAATGTAGTTCATCATTTTGTTATCCAACCTTCCAAACAAAAATATATATTATAATTTGCTTTCCATTAGGTGGCGAAACAGTTGAAAGAACAGCAAATGGTAATGCGGGGCCACAGAGATAACTCGATGATTCACGAACTCAACCGATACATCCCCACGGCCGCGGCCTTCGGTGGTCTTTGTATTGGAGCTCTCTCAGTGTTGGCGGATTTCCTTGGAGCCATTGGCTCAGGCACTGGAATCCTTCTCGCCGTCACCATTATTTACCAATACTTCGAGATCTTTGTTAAAGAACAAGCGGAGATGGGCGGCATGAGCACACTACTCTTCTAAGGCAATTTGTTACCATAAAAATATTGCAAATAAAGTTGGCAAAACAAAATATTACAAAATTTCGAATGGTATTCTTTTTTAGTGCTTTAAAAGAATATGTACTGTTATTTTTATTTATAGTTTGTTTTTATGTATACATTGGCTACTTTATCTGCAATAAATTTATGATAATATTCCGTCGAAAGAAACATTTGATAGCGCAATTTAATTTTTTAATTATTGTAGCGAATGGGGGCGGTACAGTGTTTCTTTCGACGTTTTGTGAGCGTGACGCGTGTATGGGTTATGTGCTATTTATATGAGATGAACTTTATATAATAAAATAATTTACGAGAAGTACGGACTTTGTTTTAGTAACACCTGAGTATCATGTTGCAGAGGCTTCACAAAAATTTTACTCAACATCAAAATAAGTTAACTTGTCTAAATTCTACAGTTCAGAGTATGAAAACTGTTCTACAAGTTTTTGTTTTCATATATTAATATAAAAAATAATATGTTTTGATTAGTGTCAATTAATAATTATTCAACTTTGTAAGATTTAAAATCTTTTAAAGCTTGAGTTGGTTTTATGTTGGACTAAAAAACAATGCCTACAATTGATGTCAGATATAATATTATAAAAAGTTCACGAAAAGGTGTAAATTGAAAATCTCCAATTAAAGCAAGTTTTAAAGGTAATAAGATGACTAAGTACATTTAAACCGTGATTGTTATCTGTTGTACTGTAGTTACAATAAAGTTATGCTTGTTCATCAAAATATAGGGACAGCCTACAACAGGTTTTTATTCAGTTACGACATCAATATTTTTGTCTGACAAGCAAGCAAATCTATCCTACTTTTTGTTATGATTTATAATTTTATATTACGAAATACTCTGTTGTACCAACCTGAAATGTGATAGATATATTAATAGTTTGCGTCTTACACCACACCCTGATGATTAAATTTGATTTTAAGTAATTTGTCTTTCATTTAACAAATGCGATTATGGCTGTTACAAATGTAAATATTTTAATTATTTATATATTATAGGCATAGGCTTAGTGTTTTCCGTTTTTAGCAAGTTTTTAGATGCTTTGTCTCTCCAAAACCAAAAGTGGCAGAAACATTTCATTATTTTTCTCGTTGATAGTTCAGTTCAGTTCTTGACAATCACCTGTTGAACTGACCAGTATACACGCACCACAATATAGCGAGACTAACAAACATTAATATTATATAATCTGAAGGATAGTTACGGGATTAGTGATAACACAGCTAGTACTGCAAGAAAATTTAAAAAGCGAAATGGTTTTTTATATTATAATTTTATTCTCCTCACTATATATGCAAGTACAAGGACAAAACAATTTAGAATAACGCCCTTCTCGAATTGGTGATAGTAACAGTTATTATTCATCCATTAGCAGTCCTTATACCAAAAATGTTTCATGACTAATGGTAACGAATATATTTACAAAAACAATGCACATAGTTTTTTTTTTAATATTATTATCAGCAAAATAACTTTCGTCAACATCCTAAAACAAAAGTATTATATGGTCAAAGACAAGGATAAGTGGGCCAGATTGGTAAGAGATCTAACAATACAAATAAAAATGTGCCAAAATAAAAAACTAGATACACATGGCACAACACCTATACCAACTTATTATACATTTAATTTATAACATCAAACATCAATAGGCACTTTGTGTTCATCGTCATGAATTAATGTTATTGCTAAGCATTTTAACATATCAAGGTCAATTAAACACCAAGTAAAGTCTATCATTTGGTCCCTTACCAACATGGAATAGATGTCTAATGCAAATAAATTTAAAAAAGGAAGACATTGTATAAATTTTTCTACAATTTGAAAGTGTAGCCTTAAGCTAAACCAAGAATAAATACAAACAAAGTCTAAATATTTCATTACATATTAATAGAATGATTCAATAGTATATATAAGGGATTAAACATGGTGCCTAAATAAAATCTAATTAGGATCTATAGCAATTCAATTAATGTTATTTATATGTTAATAAAAAAATAGTTATAACTACATATCTGAATTATTGGTGTAATATAATTTGAGTAATGGATGTACTCATCTTCATACTAGGATATTAATTAATGCATTAACACTTTTAGGACTATTTTTAACAACAATGAAAGTGTTTGTCTTTGCATGTTGTTAGTTTCAAAACTTTACATTACATTATATGTAGAAGGAACATTACAAATCAAGTGACAATAGCAATTTTATCTTCTACCAATATTTAATATGACTTGTAACTGCTGACTTACCAAATATTACTATAAATATATATTAGAGTTGATATTTTTTACAGATTAGTACAGGTTTTGTCTGTCTGAATGAATCAAGAGTTTTTTATTTTCTTTTGTAAATGTTTAACTGACAAACCTGCGGTTATGTCAGAGTACTCAATACTTTTGTTTTGTTCAATCGCGCTGTTTATTTAACCTCTTAAAAGAAACAATGAAAAACTAAACAAATTATGTAAAGTAAGGAAAATATTTATTATTTAAACAACATCTTCGAAAAGAGAAAATAAAAAAAAACAAGGAAAAATAACTAAGAATAACAGTGCCAATCAATTGCTAATAATAAACATGAGGCAAATGGTCAAACTTAATGCCAACTTTTTTTTCTAAGGAATACTTTCAGACATCGGCCATTTTAAATACTTAACCTGGTTAAGTTTTAAATCGAACTCCAAAATATTTATTTTCAAACTGTAGTCAAAATATTAATCTAGATACACAAATCTAAAAAGTTGACTGATTTGATAAAATAAAATATAATCTAAAATATAACAACAAAAATCAATTTTAACTGCACCAGGCAACCAACATCAGATGACCATATGCAGATTTTTAAACTAACAGCTAGGGATTTCGCTATTTTATTTGTACATGCAAATAGTTTTACTGCTTAGTAAATAATTCTATATCCAAACTTAACACAAGCTATGGTAATTTAGAATATTCACGAATGCCATAGTATATTAGCATGTAATTTGTCATCACATGCGCACACCTAATTTGTTTCTCATCAAAAAAATATCGCTTCATTTACTTATGAACTTACTATAATTATTTTAATAGCATCTGCAAGCAACATTATAAATATGTGAGCGATATGGATACACAATGCTTATTAGGCATTTATTAATCTTCACTAATCAATTGGTTGAAGAATAAACAAAGTTGATTAATAGCTGAAACAATTATAAAAATATTCACATGTTCTTTCACTTACACTTTGACAAAAATATTTCAGCATTCACCCAGGACAAAACAAATTATCTAAAGTTTTCTCACTACTGTCATTACATGTTAATTTTTGCAAGAAATGGAACACTGTAATTTTGCCACACATTTGTTTCCTGTATATCCATGCATGAAACTGTTTGACAACAAAATGGCGGCGCATGGAGAAAGAACATTGATTGTTGCTATAAATTAAGCAACAGTCTCTATCTCTTCTTGTATTGGTGTTGCTGGGTCAGGGGACCCTATACCTTTTGGTGGTGTACTTGTATAAGGTAGTGTCTTTAATTTTCTTGCTTCCCGTCTTTGTTTCTTCTGCTGCATAACAAGCCTTAGCTGTTCCAATTTACACTTAGTTTTTGAATTTTCCAGTGCTAAAGTCTTTGCTGTATCACATTTCTTACATATTTCGCCTGATAATGATTTACCCGCACATGAAGGACATAGATTAGGATCTAGACGAATACACTGACAGTCCTTGATTTCACAAGAACAATTTTTGGCCACAACTCCTGATGTAGAAGGTGTATGGCCATCACACTGTCCATAAGAGCAAGAAGGTTGATTGCAGGTACATTTGTTAGTTTCATCAGCTATACCCAGAGAGCAGATGTGTTTGGTATCCTTCTGAAAATTCAAGTGATATATGTTACATTATAATTATTAATAGTACTATTATTTTAACACTATCCATTATCCGCCGAGCCGTGATAGCTCAGATGGTTAGCGCTTGCTGTAAGCTTTACAGTACTCGAGCAACCCGAGTTCGATACCCGCCGGCACCAATGAAATATTGTTGATTGCAATTTTAAGTGCTGATTTACCATTTCGAAGACATGTGAAGTCGCTAACACGCATAGGGGCAGCGCGGCGGACATTTCCTTGCCCTAAAAACCCTCTCAGAAATGAGAGGAGCCCTGTGCCCAGCAGTGGGACGTAAATAGGCTGCAACTTCACTTTACTCATCCATTATTCTTATATCTTATATCCATTCATTACAGCCTATAAAAGTCCACTGTTCAACATAGCCTTCCCCATAGATTGCCCAATAGGCCATAGGGGGGATTTTGCTACAATGTGTTAAAGCGTGTTAATGCTTGGTAAGCAGATCGTCAAGCGCAGTTATTTAGTTATCAGGAAGCTGCTGCTACCCATCACCTGTTTCAATTTCCCTCTGTCGCCTCTTATGACACTCACAGAACGATATGGGGTAGTAGACATGCTTACACTGCCACTACATGGTCAATAATATTTTGTTTTTTATTTATGTTATTTTAACACCAATACAAGATTAAGAGAATCCTTCACTTGTTAATACATTGGTGGAAGTATTTGCAAGTGTTGTAAAGAATTGAAATTTATGAACAATAAGGCACTTTAAAACAATTTTGAAACCATCATGTTATATACATAACTCTGAACATCATGAGTTCAGTTATTTTTTGACATATTAGAACAGATCTTAAATGTTTGCATTATAAAATAAACATTTACATTTGAATGTGGGTTAGGGAAGGTAACATAGGTTGAAATATGTATATTGTGTAAAAACATTAACAATTTTATCCAAAGTTTATAATATAAATCTTTGAAGTAAATATCGTAAACTTCATTGTTGTCATACAAATCTACAATTACATTTGAACAATAAAGAAAAAAGAAGAGTATTATACCTGTGTCAAAATAGGAGGTGATGCACACAATAAGTCATTCAATATGTGTATAATAGTTGATATATCCCTCTTCGGTCGGCCATATCTGAAATACAAATATAGTGGTTAACATCTACTGAAAGTAGACCCAAAGATATTTGTAGTAGTTACAAAAATGTCAAGAACTCATACTAATTATACATTATAAAGTTGCATCTTTTTAGAACATATTGACGACGAAGTGCCAATATCTCATATCTTAAATATGAAAGTTTTACAGGAAGCGAAAAAACTTCTCATTATTTTATTTTATTTCTTAATTTGATTTCATTTGATAAATTTACTTTATTTTTTAATGTAAATACGGGCTGTTAATTGTTTTTTCCTGTAAAACCAGTATTTACTAAAATATTTATACATAGGAGGTATTGGTTTATGTTTAGTTACATTTTGGTAAATCGAGAGGATAATAGGAGCAAATAATAAAAGTAAAATAATATAAATACGTAGCTTTTTATTACAAATGAAAGAAGATTTACAAATAAATATACCTACTTCAAGTGTTTTTAACGTCTTGGTTGTCTAAAGTGCTTATTTGGATATTATTATATGGACAAAACAAGAAAAAAATTAGTAGTAACTTAAATAAGTATAACTTTATGACAACAAAAGTGAACTTCTGACAACTCAGACATTTTCATGAACGAAACTTTAAATTATTGAACATTAGGTTCTTATCGCCTATAAATAAAAAATAAACATCATCTTCATCATCATCATTATTACAGCCCTTCACAAGTGCACTGCTGAACATAGGCCTCCCCCAAGGAGTGCCACAAAGCACGTTCCTGAGCCACCTGCATCCATCGACTTCTTGCATGTCTTGCCAGGTCGTCACTCCATCTAGTGGGGGGACGCTCTACACTTCATCCGCCGGTACGAGGCTGCCACTCGAGAACCTTTATTCCCCATCGGTTGTCGGTTTTTCGAGCTATATGGCCGGCCCATTACCACTTCAGCTTACTAATCCGTTGGGCTACGTCGATCACTCTGGTTCTACTGCGGATATCCCATTTCTAAGTTTTTCACGCAGAGAAACTCCGAGCATAGCCCTCTCCATAGCTCGCTGAGCGACCTTGCGCTTCCTCATCTGGCCAGCAGTGAAGGACCATGTCTCAGTTCCATAAGTCATCACTGGCAACACGCACTGGTTGTACAGTCGTTTTTAAGTTTTGAGGTATACCTGACAAGAAGATGTGCCGTAATTTCCCGAACGCTGCCCAACCGAGTTGAATCCGTCGATTGACCTCTCGGTTGAAGTTGGACTTACCTAGTCAGACTAATTGTCCCAGGTAAACATACTCGTCAACAACTTCGAGCTTAGTGCTCCCAACCACTACCGGCATAGGTGTGACATGGACATTGAACATGATCTTTGTTTTGTCCATGTTCATCTTAAGACCTATCCGTTGGGAAACACTATTGAGGTAATTGAGCATAGTGCTTAGGTCCTCCAGCGATTCTGCCATAAGGATTATATTGTCGGCAAATCGAAGGTGAGTGATGTACTCGCCATTGATGTTAATACCGTATCCTTTCCAGTCCAGAAGCTTGAAAACTTCTTCCAATGCAGCGGTGAAGAGTTTCGGGCATCACCCTGTCTTACACCTCTCTGCAATTGGATAGGTTTCGTACTCTGGTTCTGTACTCGGATAGCCATCGTAGCCCTACTGTACTAGCACTTCAGCAGTTCCATATACCGACAGTCAACTTGGCACCACTGAAGGGACTGCAGCACCGCTCAAATTTCGACGGAATCAAAGGCTTTCTTATTGTCCACATACGCCAGACATAGTGGCAAACTCGGACTTCTGTACAATTTGCCGAATGGTATGTATGTGGTCTATGGTGCTAAAGCCTTTTCGGAAAGCAACTTGTTCGGGAGGCTGGAGGTCGACATTTTGCGCGCGAGACGATTCGTAATGACTCTCCAAAACAGCACGTAGACGCGGCTCAGAAGGGAAATCGGTCTGTAGTTCTTCAAGAGAGCGTTGTCACCTTTCTTGAAGAACAAGACCACCGTACTTCTGCTCCACGCCTCTGGTGTAATGCCACCATGGAGGGTGGAATTAAAGAGCTTCTGAAGGACTTCGAGTACCAGTTTTCCACCATCTTTCAGAAGCTCCGCTGTAATTCCATCCTCGCCTGGGGCTTGCCCTCTTTAAGGTGCTGGAGAGCCATTCTAATCTCGCTCAGATTGACGTCCGTGATATCAACGGAATACAACATCAACCTGGTACAATATGTTATTATTAATATAAATAGTTATTAATAGCAATGAGATCAAAAATTACCAATAAACTTTTACTTAAATTCTAACATTTTTAACTTTTTAAGTAGAGTATGGCAGACCATCGTCAAAACTATGACAATCACTGGGTAATACTGACTTAAGTTGCTGCAGATGGATGAGTATTTGCTCTTATTTTATGCATAAAATAATATAGAAGGTATTTCTTGTGTAAAGTTAGGATTTATTTCCAGCAAAATTTTAGAATAATGTTGTCAACTTAAAATAGCAGTTATTTCTATTAGAGATTTTGTTAGTATGTGCAAGATATTATTTTACGTCGATCTGCATTAAAATCTGAAAATCGCTAAAAATGAAGATAGGAGGTATTGGTACTTCATCGTCGATATACCTTAAACATAGTAATATTTCAATCCAAGTAGATTTAAATCGATTAAAAGTAATATCATATATTCATCATCATCATCATTACATCAGCCACAAAACACAGTCTTGAGACTTCCTGCATCGTACCAGACCATCACTCCATAAAGTGGGGGCAATCTACACTTTGATTACCAGTATGAGGCAGCTACTTGAGAACCTTTTTCCCCCATCACTTGGTACTTCAAACTATATAGCTAGCACATTGCAACTTGAGCTTACTGATTATTTTTATATGGATATTTAGTTTTCATTGTTTTACATTGAATAAATTGCCAAAAACACATAAATTTCACAATCAAATGACTTACCTATCTTGTAATGCGGGATTAAGAGTTCCTGAGAAAGTACCAGAATATATTCCTTTACCATGATGTTTCATGGACTCTATCACAGCTCCAGGACCAATTTTTGATCGAACAGACTCTTCAGCCATTCTGAGATCTAGCTTGTTTGTCAACACCTCCTTTGACAATCTCTTCAATTTTTGTGTTAAGTTCTTTGAAGCTTCTATAAGAGCCTTTGTGTCCACTGGTGGAGTAGGAGATGCTCTTTGAGGTTTTTTGGGAGCATCTGGTGCTTTGAAAGAGACTACTTTAGATGTAGAGGGTGTTGCTATATCTTCAGTGATCACAGTGTGATCAGTAATAGGTACAGATTTCTTAACACTCATTATATAAGGTTCAGTTCTAGAGGTAAATGGTTGTGGTTGTATTTCTTGTCGCATTTGCATTCTTTTTTTATGCTTATTAACCACAGACTGCATAAATGCCTTTTGTTTGTTTTGTCCAATAGGATGCTTGAACTTAGAAGTTTTGTGTAGAAGATACTGAAAACGTTTGTTTTTCAATGGCTCACTTAAACTTTGAAAAGATGGTAAAGCACCATTTGATGAATCTTGACTTCCATGGCTGGTTGTAGCCAAATTTGAAATCTCTCTATCCATCATTGATTCATCTTGTTCCTCAAATAAACCTTTGTCTATTGCACTATTAAATAAATTTTCCATTGGATATTCATCTATTGTGCTTTCAGCTAAGAATGAGCTTTGGTCTGTAAAATTGTCGCTGTCATCGCTGAGAGAACTCTCAGGTGTATGAGATGATGCTGATGTATAAGGCTTATCACACATTGCACTTGTTGATGGTGCTACTTCATTAGAAAGCTTACTGTTTGATAACAGATCAATTAAACTACTTTTGACAGAATTTGCAATTGATAATTCTCTACTCTCAGAGACTGATGCATCCAAAGGACTAGACACTAAATTAGAAAGAGATTTAATAGGGGACTGTTCATTTTCCAAGGATGTATCAGATAGATCTGACATTGTACAATTTGTGGTATCCATAATTTCATCTTTAGCAGGCTCACTTTTGTGAGCATATTTTTCTTCAGCCATAGAGCGATATAAGTCAAAAGCATTTTGTAGCATTTCTAAATCTTGTTTTTGTATCATTGGTGTTGGTGTTTCCACTTTAATTTTATCACAGTCTAAAGTTGATCCATCACTTTTAAGTTTCTCAGAGGTACTTTGGGGATTGGGAGACTCAATGTGATCATACTTTGTACTCATTGAATTGGTAGTTTTAGTAGGAGTAGATGTCCTTAATGATCGTGTGCTGCTAGAGGACCCCGAATTTAATGTAGACAACTGAAGCTGAATCAGCATCATATGATCACCTAATCTCATGGTCAGATTTAGTGGTGATTTTCCACTCAAAAAGTCATTAACTTGTGTGTCATTAAGTGATTCTAATGCTTGCATTACTGAATTTTCTGGTCTCTGACTCTGTAAACAATTGAATAATTTACTTAAATAAATGTACTATATCTACATAAATAAAAAAAAGTAATTTATTGTAGCATTTTAAGTTTCTGAATGATAAATGCGATAATTTCGTATCAACTAATTGTATTGCAAAAGAAGTGATTATCATGGTGCATCGAATTAATGTTTCGAAATAATATGACGTGCTCACCAGGAGACCCGTCTCGACGCTCGGCAGCAGGATGACACGCGAACCGTCAAGTAAACCATTCTCTTCTAGAGTGCCGTCTCTCAGTTGTCTGCGAAAACCAAACCACTTATCAACAACCGAGTCAAAGGACGCGAATGCGTCATCGTATCGACGCAACATATTTCCGTGATACCTATGTTTAACAATAGAAGTTTAGCGTCAGACGCCACACTTACCTTTCGCGATGCAGAAGACATATTCGATCCTTCGACACTTTAAGTTTTTTTGAAACCAACTTTTTGAGGTGCTCTACTGTATTTTTACCGTTCATGCTGACAGAGAAATTACCACCAGTTGTCGTCTGTATATTTAGCGTTATGTCCGTAGAATGGGGCGAGCCACACCCGTACACTTCTGTTCCCGTAGCACGTTCCATATTTTACACATATATTACACTGGAATTTTAGTATATTAATAATATAGCGACACAAAACTTAACTAAGATTATACAGCTATTTTATTGCAGGATAGAAATAACAGGGTCACACGCTAGACCCCCAGATTTGATGTGGCCGTCGGTGTGACCAATCTCTATCGCCGATCCCGTTATTTTTTTTTCTTTAACAGCTGATGCGAAGCGAATGAAGCGATGCTGTTCGCTCCGTTAAATTTTTTTAATTATTTGCGTGTTTTTCGTTTATTGCTATTTAAGTAAACATAATTGGTAGAGTTGTATATTTATGCACAGTATCGATTAAAATATTTTATATAATTTTCCATGAAAAATCTTATTAAAGTGAATTAAAATTCTCTTGGACATTCAGTAAATCTTATTTTATTGCGTGTAACGGACTGCAAACGTCAGGTCATAATATGTCATATGACGCTCATTAAGTGCGGGAAATTTAAAATTACAATTGATATTATTACATATTTACAAACCATATTTTATTGTGTTATATTTAAAGAATGGATGATAATGATATGCATGAAAGTAAAATAGCTAAAATATGCACGAAAATCCATAAATAGGGCCAAAATATGCAACATGAAATAATAAAAAGTATTTTTAAATGTTTTTATTTTAAAGTACAAAATATATTTAACAATGAAATTTACAATTTACCTTTAAAAATGTATACGATTAAGTACTGTTCCAGATGTTCTGTAGATAAATTGTTTCTACTATCACTTGATACGTTTTTGTAAGCGGAAAAGGACCGTTCTACGCCCGGTGAGGTGACTGGGTGCCATGTTTAGATTTATTGTGCCGGGCAAAATTTCACCCGCCTCGTAGATGAAGCTATCAATTTGGCATAAGGGTTCAAATCCTGGGTTATTGCTCGGTACGTTTTTCTTTGAGTTTATTATTCGCTGGCAGAATGTCTAGACTCAATGGCTAACGTCTCTAGGAGTAATTATATTCTGTGAACGTCTCTCACCTGACCCTTGTTATTCTGAAGGGAAATAAACGTATGTGTGTGATGCATTCACGGAATCCCGAATCGGAATTCCATATGTATGTGAGCGGCCTTATAATAATAATAATTTATTGCTTTAAAGAAGTAGTAAGTTGTTACAGTATTGTTGGGTACTCTTTTAAGTAAATAGATACCTGTAGTAGAGGGAGCCGCTCTTCCGTAGTACAATTATATTACTACATTAAATTAGAATTAAATTAAAAAAATCTACACAATTTAAAACATGCACTAAGGTATAATTAATAATATTTGTGTGATTGTGTGCAAGAATGTTTGTGTGTGTGTGTGTGTGTTTGTGTGTGTGTGTGTGTGTGTGTGTGCGTGCGTGCGTGCGTGCGTGCGTGAGTGCATGCGTGCGTGCATGCGTGCGTGCGTGCGTGCGTGCGTGTGTGTTTTTTGGTTTATTTTATTATATAAGTAAATTGAAAGTCTTGTATACTGTCTTGATGCAAACTTAGTCTTAAATGAATCTTCGTAGGGTACTGTATATTTTCTACGTCTAGTCGTTAATGACGGTTGGTATATTAGGGAACTATGAAGTTTTAGAAAGGTTGCTAAAATGTAAAGTTTTCTTACCGAAAGTAAATTACTCAATTCATAGAGTTCAGTTGAAGAGAATCTATAGGGCTTTAAGAACATAACTTTAATTAAGCACCCTTGAGCTCTTTCAAGCTCAAGGAACCTGGTTTTTGCTGCACCACCCCATATAGGAAGCCTACCGTTGACTGAACCAGAGCTATGTATATTTTATTAAGTAAGGACTTCGTGGAGACATGTCGTAGTGACTTAAACATCCAAATAAGTTTACCCTGAGCCGAGTTGCCATTAATTCTAGGTGTGAATACCAAGACAGTCTTTGGTCAACCATTACTCCTAGATACTTTATATTTGAGACTTTATTTATTTGAGAGCAGTTACAAGTAGAGTTTTGGAAGACAGAGTATATAGTAATTACATTACTTATACTATAGTAATTACATCAAACATCACAAAACTACCTAAATACATTATATATATATATATATATATATATATATATATATATATAAACACTCACGCCTGTCACCCAGAGGGGTAGGCAGAGAATATGGACTTCCATTTGGCACGATCCTGACACACCTCTCTCACTTCCTCCACATCCATATACTTACGCATACACGCTCATCAGTTAAAGGTACTCTTGATTTGGCCCATTTTCAATATATTGCCAATTTGGTCGATATATTTTTGCCTAGGGCGTCCTTTCCCGACTCTGCCGTTCACCGTTGCAAAATAAATTTGCTTTGTCACTCTTTCCTCATTCATTCTTTATACATAACCAAACCATCGAAGCATTCCTTTCTTAATCCTGGTCACAACATCATCTTGCAAACCACACTCTTCTCTTTATCACACAATTTCTCACTCTGTCATTCAGATTCATCCCTAACATACTTCTTAATGACCGCATTACTACAGCAGTTATTCTACTCTCGTGCTTCTTCTGCCACACCCAACTTTCACTACCATACATTAAAGTAGGGACTAACACAGCATTGTGAATTGCCATACGTGCCTTTTTGGACACATTCTGACTTTTCACAATAGGGTGTAGAGCCCCATTCACTCTATTTCCTGCATTCACTCGTCGTTCTATATCCTTATAATGTCTACCATCCCTGCTAAATACATATCCCAAATACACAAACTCATCTACTTGCTCGACCAACTCCCCTTCTATTCTTATTTCACATATCGTTTTACTCTCTTCTCTTTCAAAAACCATAACTTTCGTCTTACTTGCGTTCACTTTCATTCCCTTTTCTTTTAATGTCCTGTTCATTAATGTAACTATCATTTGCAACTCAGCCGCCGACGACGCAAGTATGACTTGATCATCGGCGTACAAAAGGCATTTTACGGTTAACTCACCCATTCTTAACTCGCATTCTTCTACTTTCAAATTTTCCAAACAACTGTCCATAAATAGGTTGAACAGCCACGGGGAAGCCACACAGCCCTGTTTGACACCTTTATGCATGCCAAACCAGTCTGAATAGGCTCCGTTGATCTTAACACAAGCACTAGAGTCCCTATACAGAGATTTCAATGCCTGTATCAACCCAGCGCTCAACCCAAATGAGTTCAGTGTTTGCATTAACACATCCCTGTCCACTCTGTCATAAGCCTTCTCCAAGTCCGCACGCGATATTGAACGAATTGACGAACGCACAAAAAACTTTTTGGTTTTTGGCCAAAAACTTCTCCGCGATCATGCGCATGGAAAAGACCTGATCTGTACATCCCATTCCCTTTCAAAATTCCGCTTGCACATCCCGAATTTTTCCATCACTTTCTTTCAATTAGTACCTTCGCATACAGTTTTCCCACAATGCTAAGAAGGCTGATACTACGGTAGTTTTTACAGTCCTGCTGTGATCCTTTTCCTTTATATATTGGGACTATTACGGAGCGACCATCCGTCCCAAGGAGGTTGTATTGAAGAAGCGATCGAGCGGAACCAAGGCTCCAAAGTCTTTGCCAGAGATCCGTCTGCCAGAAAGAGCCAACTGTCAAAGCTGAAGACCGAGTGTGGCAGTATCGTTTCCGGGGCACCTGAGAATTTGAGTGAGATTGAGAGGTTCTATGGGCAGCTGTTCACGTCATCGTTGGGGCCACACGCAAGTGTGAAAGTAATGATTCAAGAGCGAGTCTTATCCGACACTATTCCGAAGATATCCCGGACGTCAGTCTGAGCGAGATTAGAATGGCTCTCCAGCACCTTAAAAACGGCAAGGCCCCAAGCGAGGATGGAATTACAGCGGAGCTTCTGAAAGCGGGTGGAAGACCGGTACTTGAAGTCCTTCAGAAGCTCTTTAATTCCGTCCTCCATGGCAGCATTACACCAGAGGTGTGGAGCAGAAGTGCGGTGGTCTTGTTCTTCAAGAGAGGTGACAACGCTCTCTTGAAGAACTACAGACCAATTTCCCTTCTGAGCCGCGTCTACGTGCTGTTTTCGAGAGTCATTACGAATCGTCTCTTGCGCAGACTTGACGACTCCCAGCCTCCCGAACAAGCCGGTTTTTGAAAGGGCTTTAGCACTATAGACCACATACATACCCTTCGGCAAATTGTACAGAAGTCCGAAGAGTACAATTTGCCACTATGTCTGGCGTATGTAGACTATGAGAAAGCCCTTGATTCCGTCGAAATTTGGGCGGTGCTGCTGTCCCTTCAGCGGTGCCAAGTTGACTGTCGGTATATCGAAGTGCTGAAGTGCTTGTACAGTAGGGATAGAGTACAGAACCAGAGTACGAAACCTACCCAATTGCAGAGAGGTGTAAGACAGGGTGATGTTATATCCCCGAAACTCTTCACCGCTGCATTGGAAGACGTTTTCAAGCTTCTGGACTGGAAAGGATACGGTATTAACATCAATGGCGAGTACATCACTCACCTTCGATTTGCCGACAATATAGTCCTTATGGCAGAATCGCTGGAGGACCTAAGCACCATGCTCGATGACCTCAATAGTGTCTCCCAACGAATAGGTCTTAGAATGCATATGGACAAAACAAAGATCATGCTTAATGTCTATACCTATGCCGGTAGTTGTTGGGAGCACTAAGCTCGAAGTTGTTAACGAGTATGTTTACCTGGGACAAATAGTCCGACTAGGTAAGTCCAACTTCGACCGAGAATCAATCGACGGATTCAACTCGGCTTGGCAGCGTTCGGGAAACTACGACACATCTTCTCGTCAGACATACCTCAAAACCTTAAAACGAAATTGTACAACCAGTGCGTGTTGCCAGTGATGACTTACGGATCTGAGACGTGGTCCTTCACTGCTGTTCGTATGAGGAAGCTCAAGGTCGCTCAGCGAGCTATGGAGAGGGCTATGCTCGGGGTTTCTCTGCGTGATAAACTTAGAAATGAGTATATCCGCAGTAGAACCAGAGTAACCGATATATCC